TGAAGAGTTAGATGTGACTGAACAAGAATTGCACTATTGCTTTTTTTGAAAAAAATTTCCTGATATTAAGAGCATCCCTTTACATTTCTTGTATTTTAATCAAGGTTCAAGACAATACTATGCTAATTTAAACTACTTTTTAATTTCTTTTTTTCATCTTGACTCTGAATAACCTAGATTAATCGTTGCAAATCACAGAATTGCATTTCTCTTTGTCATAATTCATTTTTCTCATTTTCGCTTTAGGGTGCTATAGTTCATTTCTTAACCTTACACTTTTCTGCTTCCAAACTATGTTTCCAATTGTTCCAATTTTGTTGTGAGACCTAGTTTCCTCTCTCTCCACTAGATCTATACTTTTTGAAAATTAGCACATTATTTTTTTTACTTCTCAGGTTCATTAAATAACTTCTCCTGGGTGATCATAGATGAAACTTCAGGTTTAACAGCATAGTTTCTTCTTTTTCCATGTAAAATACATACACACACACACACACACACACATATAATTTGGTTTCTTACATAAGAACCTGCAAGTTCATAGTCCTTTCTAATTCCCTTTTGGAGACTTTTTCTTTTTCTAATTCACTAGGCAATGATTCTGTCAATCATGTACAGAAGACCATTGTGGTTAAGCAAACCGATTTCTTCTTGCTCCCCCGAAATGAAATACTGCCTTTTCGTAATGTAAGAGTGTCCTTTTAGATGTTAGCAAAACTGAAGGTCATAACAGGCAAAGACAGACACTAACATGTAAGGGTGAGGCCCTTTCAGGTATAAATGAAGCATTCCACAACTTTTAGGGTATGAGGCTCTGAAAAATGTCTGCAGAAAAAAAGATCATGCCCTCAGCGCAGACTACTTCACTATCTTCATCCTAGCCACTCACTTGCACAGCGACCAATAGGTACTGAGGTGGTCATCATAAATTATTGAGGGAACCCATCTCTGAATCAAGAAGAATTCTGTAGTGTAAGAGAATCTGTGTCTCTTTTACTCCCTGTCTGGGAGATGATAAATCTCAGATCCAAGGCCCTGAGGGAACAGAATTGGTAAAAATTTCTGGCAAGCTGAGGTTAACAGTCTTTGCCCTTTCTGCAAGAACACAGTAGCTCTCCAGATGAAAAGAACACTATAACACCCCAATTGAAAGAAGAATATCATAGCACCCAGCTAAGCCAGAGGCTGGAGATAGTAGAGACAGCAGTGGCTTATTGAACAGTGAGCTCAGGGAGTCCAGTGAATCAATCTGTTCAGCCTATACACTACAAGTCTGTGGGAAGCCAATTCAGCAGCCAAGTGACCTGCCTAGACCTCGCTGGTAATTGATTAACTCCCTTAGTAAAAATGCCACACTATGCAAGGAGTAAAGCCAGAGGAGCCACCGGTGTAGCTGAGATGCTGTGCTCTGTGGAGAGCCCAGCTGGCACAGCAGAAAGTGGAGCAACTTATCCCTCACCAAGGCTGACACCTCGACCCAAAGTGAACCGCATGAGGCCTCTGCAGAGAAAGAAAGAGCATCAAGGCCCTGTGGTACTAAAGTTGTGTGTTGCCTTAGCCAAATACGTTTACTATCATTATATTTTAAATTTGTCACTGCTCTCCCCTTCCCTTCCCCAACCCTGTATGTCTTTGTCGGAGACTACCCCAGATTATTGAGGGGATGCTTTATAACTCCATTTACTTGACTCATTAAATACATTTACTTGACTCCTACCCCTCCCCCCATTATATAAGTGGTAAATATGGTTCCTGAGGGGTGAAAGTGAAGAAAGAAAAGCAAAACAAAATACAAACCTCAGTGTGTATGAAACTCTTTAGTGTGTCTGTGAAATTCTGTGTGTGTGTGCGTGTGTTTGTGTGTGTGCGCATGCGTGCGTGCTTGAGTTCATTTCTTATAGAGAAAAAAAGGGTACATATATGGGCCTTAGCTACTGGTAGCAGTAAAGAACCTAAATGTAGTGAAATAAATAAAAAGTTCCTCCTCCTTCCCATGTCCCACAAGGAAAAGATCTGAACTAGGTCTATTCTAGCAGAGTAGGGTCAATCTGGGACTTAATATAAACTTAATGAAAAGGCCTCTACTTCCATCTCTCTCCTCTTCCTAAGGAAAGGCTTCAGCTAAGGATGATCCCAGAAGGAGGAGGGAATCTTGTTGTCCGTGGTTAATGAGAAGGAATGGGTTAAAAGAATGGGCCCTAACTTAATCTGAGCCCTGAGAAAAGGGGGTGTCCAGCCTAAAGAAAGACTTCTGAGGCAAAGGAAGGGTTCTCAATTTAATCTTATCCTCATAGTCGGGAAGACCTAGAACTCAACTCCTGAGGCTTCAGCAACAAAAACAAGTAAACAAAAATAATAAGGGAGTTTTGTGAAGCCAAGGATGATTAAGACACAAACATAGGAGAGAACAATTCAAAAAAAGCACATACAATCAAAACCTCAAAGAAAAAAAAATATTGCCAGAAGAATAACTAGAATTCTTCAAAGAAATGATAGAAGAGTTTTAAAATTCTATTTTAAAAGAAATGAGAAATATGGAGGAGAGACTCAGAAAAAGAATCAAGAGCTTAACACAAGAGATACAAAATTTTAGCCTAGTAACAAATTCTTTAAAAATTAGGATGGACCAGACAGAAGTCAATGACACCAGGAGACAAGAAGAATTATTAAAACAAAGGCAAAAGAATATGTAAGAAATGTAAAAATGTAAATAAAAATGTAAGCGTTTTTTTCTTTTCCGGAGCGATAGTGAGTATACTGGCTAATTGATGATGGGAAGCACACTGGTGGCCACTTGTGAGAGTTAGGAACATTCACTCATAGCATTATCTCCAGAACCCAAAGTGGTAGCCATTCCCCTGGAAAGCCAACCTGGCAGTGCCAGGGAGAGTTGGGAGAGTGAGGTTCGAAGGGATGCTAAATTCAGAAGCACGTTATTTGCCTTTCACTTGAGGAAGTTCCTTCCCTCAAGGTTATTTTCTAAGAGTTAAAAAAAAAGCTACCTTCTCTAAGTTGAAGAGAAAAGGTAAAAAGAACAATACCTGCAGAGTAGAGCTCTTTAGCACTAGATCAGGGTGCAAACTTTAGAAAAGAAAACTTTTTTGTAACATTTTGAGTTCCAAGTTGTCTCCCTCTCTCCCTCCCAATCCCACATTAGAGAAAGCCAACATTTGATATAAACATATGTGTAGAACCATATAATACATACTTCCATACGTTGGCTCTTTCTCTGGAGGGGGCTAGCATATTCCTTCATAAGTCCTTTGCAGTTGACTTGGATGATCATGTAACCATTTTGAGTTACAATTCACAATTACTCTTCAAACAATATTGCTATGATTGTATACAGTGTTCTCTTGGATTCTACTCATTTCACTCTACATTATTTCATGCAAATTTTCTCATGTTTTTCTAAGACCAATCTGCTCGCCATTTCTTGCAGCACCGTAACATTCTACCACAATCATAAACCACAACTTATTCAGTCATTTCCCAATTGATGGCCATTCCATCACTTTCTACTTCTTTGTCACCTCAAAGAGAGCTGCAATAAATATTTTCAGACAAATAGGTTCTTTTCCTTTTTCCTTGATCATCTCGGGAAACAGACCTAATAGTGTGGTATTGCTGGGCCAAAGGGTATACGAAGTTTTATATCTCTTTGGGCATAATTCCAAATTGTTCTCCAAAATTGTTGAATCAGTTCACAATTCCACCAACAATATACTAGTGTCCTAATATTTCCACATCCCTTCCAATATTTGTCATTTTCCCCTTCTATCATTTTAGCCAATCTGATAGGTGTGTGTGATGGTACCTCAGAGTTGCTTTAATTTGCATTTCTCTAATCAATAGTGATTTAGAACATTTTGTCATATGACTATATATGGCTTTGGTTTCTTCTTCCAAAAAATGCCTTTAACCATTTATGAATTGGGCACTAACTCATGCTAGAAACTTCTTAAAGGTTTTTCTTCTCTTTAGTGAGAGTTTAAAAAAAACTGTTAAAGCTGACTTCAATTCTGTTAGGAATTGAATACCTTTTTGCTGAATAGATTGAAATACATACAAAAACCAGGAAATAGACACTAGTTTTTCTGGCAAATCACTCCATTCATTTACCCAACCAAAATCCATTGAATACATTCTATTATTTTAGATGAAAAGATTCTTCCTTTGAAAATTCTTCAGCTTGATATGCCAATTCAGTTTGTCCGAGAATTGAAAGGTTCATTTTTAGAATGGGCAAGTATGAAAGAGCAGCCCTTCCTGCAACCAAGAAATTTCTATATGCTTTGTTTCCTACTCTGAAGTTTCTCCATCCTTTTCCAAAGTTAGACACTCAATTCTGATTTTACCTGAGTAGTAGGAAACTTGCCTCAAAACCCGCTGACTTACAGGAGTCTGATTCTATCATCACTCATACAGGGAAACAAGGCTTTATTTCTTAAATGACTTGAGGAGCCTGGTTCCAGGCTTCACTGCCTGGCAAAAACCTGGTGGACCAAGCTGCAACTGCATTACAGGGAATCTATTTTTCTTGTAGCAATTCTGACTGCTCTGATTTGCACAATCTTTGCTAGCTCTTTGTCTAGACAGTCTAACATCCATGAATAGTTTACTATGTATCTAAACACAGAACAAATCCACTTACACTACACAAGTCTAATGTGGCTTAGTTTCACAATTTAAGGCACATAAAGTGGTTACAAACAAGAACATGAACAGAAACAAGAACAAACCCTTCTTGCTGTACCTAACAGACGGAGCCTTTCTCTTCAATGGTCAGATTCCAAAAGTCTAAATAAATGAGGAAGGAACAAGGCTCAGCAGCTCTATTAAAAAACAAAACTTCAAGATTCATTTTTGTTTATTTTGATTTTTTTTAACGGGACCCCTTACCTTATTTGAAGGGCAGCTTGGTGGCCCAGTAGATAGAGCACTGGGCCTATGTGGTCTTACTTAGCTGTGTCATCCTGGGTAAGTCACTTAACCCTGTTTTCCTCAGTTTCCTCATCTGTAAAGTGAACTGGAGAAGGAAATAGTAAACCACTCTAGTAGATTTGCCAAGGAAACCTCAAATGGGTCACAAAGATATGGACACAACTGAAAATAACTAAACGACACCTCTTATTTAGTTGGCCATGAAGTTTTTCAGAGCAGAGATCCTGAGCCATGCTAGTTCCTATCAAGTATTAGAATCCATGTCACAGAGCCATTTAACTACTGAAGAAAAATTCAGCATTCTGCTTGTTCAGTTGAAATCTATCAGAAACAAGTTTTTGAATTAAATTCTAAGCCCAGTAGCCTAGGCAGGGAGAAATCCAAAAAGAACTGAGTCCCCTTATGCCACTGAGGACTTCACTGATCCAAGTCATTTTCTCCATATAATTTATAGGGTTCAAGAGATTATAGTTTTTTTAGTGACTTTCACTGGACAATAGTCTTTTGGTACACTGTAGAGAGTCATCTTAATAACACAATTCAATCAGATAAAGGGTACTGCTCTTACTAGAATTAATCAAAGAGGCTTCTGACTTGTTTAGTCATCACCTTAATTCCATAATCAGGCAGAAGAGAGTTCCTTCTCAAACTTCTGACAGTTTCACTTTAGATTAGGCCTTTGAATAAGGATGTGAAAAGGATTTCAGACAAGGACTGATTAAGTCTTTCCATGGTTTATTTAATGCGGATGAATCCAAAAGAACTTTGAACTGAAATAACATTATTGCTTAATATTATTCCTAAATAAGGAATTTATAAATAATATTATTCCTAAGTAAGGAATGGTTTAGAGGGTAGGCAGAAGCTTAGAATGCTTCCACAGCATAGTATTATTAACAGACTATTTTTACTGTCCAAGGAACAGTCTATCTATATTCAGAGAGACTAATCACCAGCATGTGGGCTCCTTGATGATGAATTATTTGGCCATAATAACCTATGAAACAAAGAAAAATACAAAACTATCCTCAGTTCTATGTGACTTCCCACTTCTGTCATGACTGTGTAAGAGTAGTTCACAAGAAGGCAGAGAATGCTAAGAATCACCATTTTAAAACTGTCTATAAGTATTAATAGAGTTGTTGGTACTCTAAATATTAAATTGTTGTCCAGTGACCAATAATACATGGATGTGCTGCTAGAAAAACTGAATTACATTCATTTTGACATAAATAAAAGCAGAATACAAAAAGCAGTTGCAGTTAAATGGAAGGATGACTCACAGGTTTTCTGTAGAGAAACAAAAAAAAAGTTTGTAGAATTGGTTTGTTGCATGCAAAGGCAACAAGAAATATCGTTACAAGGGAAACTAGGTCATCTCATATTGCAGAGTTCATAATAAGCGTTCGCAAAAATAAATAAATAAGTAAATAAATAAACAAACAAATAAATAAATAAGCAAAACATTTACTATTATATACTATCATCTTTTGCAAAGAATGATGATGATGGTAGCATTTATATGCCACCTACTATGTGCCAGGCACTGTGAGAATTTTATCCAAAAATTGGCAAGCCCCTCAAAATTAAATCAGCATATACTTATGCAGAGACTAAAGAGATATAGAAGGACCATTTCAGAGTGTGGACCCAGAGCTTCCCTGGAAATGTCCAGGAATTCCAAGAAGAGTGAATCATTGTTTGGGCCTTTCGGGGAAGACATATCCTGGCTGCCTGAAAACTTGAATTAGAACTTGGTAGAATGTATGAAAATCTGAGTGATCCCTTGGTTATCTCTTACCAAACACTTCCCTCCCTATGACTGGGGGTGTAGGTAGGATGAGGGAAGGTATTTGAGCTGAATCAATTAAGAGAAAAAAGCTACTGAAAGGTATTCTCTTATTGAGGACTACTCCATGTGGTAAGTATGGCATTCTCCCTCTAGACTGCAACGAAGTCTAGTGGTAATCATTTTCCCACACCACACCTAGTGCCCATGTGGAGCATGGATTTTATTAGGTAAGCTTATACCTGGAACTGCAGCTGTGTGTTTCCTTGCCTGGATCTAGTGAGAAGAGCCATTGGTTGCAAGGTTGACTGAAGAAGCACAGTGTGAAGTGAAGAGCTGAGGTGAAATGGAAACTGTAATTAGTCATCTCACAAACTGCTTTGTAATCTGACAAAGTTGGAGTATCGTGAACCTCTCAATAAATTGTAACCATAGTTATAAATCGTTACCAAGTTCAGTTTTTTTAAAGCTGTTTTGTCAAGGCACAATGAGTAGCTTCTGTTTAGCATTCCTTTGGGGTGTAGGAATAAATTACCTGTCCCATGAATGATTCCTATTATACATTGAACATCTTTTTTTTTTTTAACTATCCCTGTTATGGAAGAAATCTTAGACTTCTGACTCATAATGAAGTTTATAATGTTGTGTGTGTGTGTATGTATGTGTGTGTATATGTATATATTTATACACATATATATCATATTTGTGATATAAATATATATATTAGATTTCTGACCCATAATTAAGGTTTTAATGATATATGTATATATACACATACATATATATATGTGTGTGTGTGTATACACACACACACCATCATCATCATCATCATCATCATCATCATCCCCAGTGATTCAGAGTGGAAACTTAATGAGCCAAAGAATGTGAGAACATGGAGTCTTCTCCTTCCAATTTGAAGTCAGGATTCCCAGGACTGAGGTCAGAACAAACTTCATGAATGGGTATGGAATAAAGTGTGGACTAGTACCTCCAACCCCTATGGGCCCATAATTTCTTCAAGGTTAGACTTTAATAATCCATGACTTCAGTCCATAGGTTTCATTGCAAAGAAAATGGTAGTGAAAAAAACATTTTGGAAAACATACTTTGGAAGTAAGAAAAGAAAGCAGTGATAGGCTTCTAGGATACAGAAGCCTGAGCCCTATACCATGAATACTTTCATTGAGAAGAGTGAAGAGGCACTAGACATGGCAAGAATTAAATAACATGACAAAAAATAAGATTGATTACATTTTAACATACAGGAAGTGACTGGTTACAGTCATAGATAATTTCCTAATTGGTTATCCTTGTACAGTTAGACCACTAACTTGTTACAGAAAACATCAAAATTAATACCAAACCAGAAGAAAGAATATAAATTGTAAGATATATCTTATAAATGAGTCAATTCCCACCTGATCTAGACAAGCCATTGATTCTGGAAAAATGAGAAATAGATAAAAGAATAGATATTGCCTCAGATTATTACCATTTCTTAAAAAACTCAATATATTCATATTTAATTTGATTTAGTAAACATTTATTGAATGCATACTATGTTCAAGGCTCTTTGATAGAGGCTGGGGATATAAAGATAAAAATGAAATAATCTATACCTCCAAGAATCTCACTTACTACTGGAGTAAGGGGAAAAGGAACAAGATGGTTTTTATAAAGATATAGCTGCCTAAATAATTCTATTATGTATTTATTGTTGAAGTATACAAACCCTACAAATAAATAAGGAAATTAAAAACACTCAACACTTTGTTTATTTACAATTGAAAGAGGATGCCAACTATTTATTATTGTATAGGACACTACGTATTTTAAAGTAAGACTTCTGAATACTCCAAATTACTAATAATTAAAGAAATATAAATTTAAATGATGCTGAGTAGCTAACTCACACATATCAAGTTGGTAAAGATGCTAAAATATGGGAAAACATTGCCGGGGGGCGCTGTGAAACTAATTCACTGTTTTTGGAGCTATAGATTGGTTCAACCACACTGGAAAACAACTTGTATATTTGGAGCATTTGTTTTTACATGGTTGTTTTCAAAATTAGTTTTTTTCTTTTATTATTATCCTTATTATGTCCTAAAGATGATTTTTAAAAATTGAATCTCTTCTCAGAGTTCTGAGGTGTTTTCTTTTTTGTAACTTTTGACCACCTTGGCCCCCATTGCCTGAAGGCCAGCTAAATTACATTTCCCTTCTCCCCTGGGGTTCTCTGTACCTGTAAAGGGGATTGAGGGGTTTCTAGGCACTCTGCCAATGTTTCCATCCTCTCACCTAGGATGTTCCCTCAAGTGTAGGGCTGCTTCCTCTATACTCCAGTTCCATTTAGTCACTAAAAGTCAGATTACCTTTTACAAAGGAATATTTGCTTCAAAAGGCATAATAACAAATATACAAATAGGTGGGAGACATACTCCCCTTGCTCTTCCACACCACCTTAGTCTCTGGGGAGGGGAAGGAGATTAGGTTCATCGCTTAGCTCAGTTCCTACAGAGCACAGTTCCAAGATTCAATTCCCAAACCCCTCTTGGACTCAAGCCCCAGGCACCCTGTCTTCTCAGGACTTCCCTGGTATTCTGGCTAGCTTCAATACCTTGCTTGGAATCCTGGCTCCCAATTCACTAGAGCTCGAACTCCTAGGTCCAGTGGATATTGTTGCCAGCACCTGAAACTGAGGGCAAATGACACAGAACAGAAACTGAAACCCCAGGTCCATTTCTCAGAGCCAGTGCATAAAAGGGAGAGCAGTAGAAGGAAGTCCTTCCTCCCTAGTTCAGTTCATATCTCCGATGCTGTGGATGAATTGTGGTGGTCTTTATCCTCTGGACAACTCTCTAGTCTGGCACTTCTTAAAGGCACAACCTCTTCTGGCTATACAGCCAGTAAAAAAGGAGGTTATTCCTACCCACCTGGTAGGAGAGTGCAGGATGCAGGGTGCAAGCTCTGAGCTCCATTACAATTGCTTTACAAAGGTCAGCAAATTTTCTGAATTTTGCACACATTCTTAGGGGTTATTAAATCTGCTATTAAAACAGATTCCCATGAACTATGAGGTAAAAATACATTAAGACCTACATAAACAACATTGAAAGTATTAGTTTCTTTTATGACAAGTTGATAATTATATCAATAGTTCTACAGGAAGTAATTAGGCACAATAATTTTATGAATAGTTTCAACACCTGAATATCCGCAAGATCTATAGTGTAACATGGGAATAGGACTATGGGTAGGTTGGATAAAAATGAATGCAGGGGATAAAACAAAGAAAATAGGTGCTAACCAATGCTCCACCCAGATACATCTCTGGGACAATCATAGCTGAAAAGATGCTACTGGCTATATGAAAGACAAAGAAAGACAAAGGCTGTGTATTATAAAAGATAATGACCTTTAAGGTAGAGGGGAAAATTATAGTAATAAAATCTTCAAGCTCCTACTTACAGAAACTGATGCTTTCCTCTCTGTGACTTCTCTGGTGGGAATGTGATAGCAAATCATATGGTGGAGGAAACCCATCAGGTTTGCCGGACATTAAAGAGGCAAAGACGCAACTGAAAATATTACTAGTCAGAGAGGATGGAGATCATTATGAGGGCATTTGGTCATCGGTGAAGTAGGCTAACACTAGATGTCATTCTACTTGCACAGACCATGTTACTGTGGGAGAGAAAAGCAGTGCTCCAAATTCCTGCTGGCATCATCATGAGCCATCATTCAGTTGAAACACCTGGCTTTCTTTTGCCCATACAACTGGCTCCTCTCATACCCATATCTGTATGCAAAGACATTCACTAATACCTGCTTATGAAAATATGGCAGAACACCAGAGCAAGTAGATATCAATGTACTCAGTACAAGCCTACCTCTTTCTGCATCAGCCCCCTAGAAATAGGTAGGAAAAAACCCTGGAAGCTCATACCTCATCACTCCCTGCCACATGGCAGCAAGAGTGTTCACACAGGGCTTTTCACTCACAAATCTTGCACCCTCCCTACCAACCATACCATGTTCTACACCTCACTCCCTTGAGGTATCAACTTCACACTGATGCCTATAAAAACTCAGAGCACCATACTGGTCTCTCTGAAGGTAACACAGTGTGCACAAGCAGAACGGCATACAGTGTCAGCCCTATTCCCGGGTTGCCATGTCTCTACTTCCCATTCTCTAGTTCTTCTTTCTATGTGGTTATTAGGTATACATTTTTGTTGCAACAGTTGGTTAGGCATATATCCAGTGGAGTGTTGAGCCTTGACTACTCCTGGGGAAACAACTCAGCACAGATACAAAAGCTTTGAGATGATGAAGCAATCCCATTATTAGACTCTGAGTAGAAAGAACCATTGACTCAGTAGACTTTAAAAATAGAATGTCTGCCTTCTAGCCTCTTTTCTCTTCCCATCAGCTGAGCAGAGCAGGTGTCTTTGAATCTCTCCATAGAGGCAAAGGAAGGAAGGTTGGTACTTTTCCCCTGACCCTAACAGAAATGGTAGACTGAAAACACATGGCAGCTAGTGCCTATATGTGAAGTTGGGGGGGGGGCTGAGCCTAGCCCCTGGCTGTCATTTCTGTTTTATTTATTTCCTAAGTATAGGTGACTAAATGACAATCCTGAGATGAATGTATCCAACCTTAGAAAATGGCAAGCCAGGCCTTGTCCTCCTCCATCACTATAGGGGGTGAGCTATAGGGGGCTCATTTCAAATGAGGAATGAATTCAATTGAATGAGGAATCCAGGAACTCTCTAGAGCTACCCTTCTTTCTTGATTTCTGCTTGGTCACCTATGATCATGGTAATAAAGGAATAAAACACAAAAGAGAAAAAAGCAGCAAAAGGTCCAAGGCCCAGGCTCCAGCTCACTTACACAGCAAATTTGGTCAAATCTTCTATAACTGCCAGAGCAGTGAATCACGGGCCCAGTGCTTAGTACAGTGTCTGGAGAGTATGCGCTTAATAAACATTTGTTGATTAATTAGACTGATTTAAAGAGTTCTGATTTTCTTTCTTCTTCCTTGTCCTTAACATTATTCCTCTGAAATGCCAACAAATATTTATTAAGTATGTACAGCACATTCACTGGGCTCATTCCCCCCAACCCTGACCCACACTGACAAATCCGGTCTCAGAGAATGGCTGCCTCATTTCCTCAGAGCTCTAAAGGTAGTCGTCAGGGTCTGGGGCAGTGTACATCTAATGCCATAGCTCATGAGCCCCTACTGGTGTCCTTCCCACCATGATAATTAGTTCACATCAATTGGTCAATTATATATGATTAGCACTTTTAATTAATTTATTTTTAGTTTTCAACAATCACTTCCATATACTTTTGAGCTCTAAATTATTCTCCCCCTCCCTTACTCCCTCCCCAAGACAGCGTGCAATCTGATATAGGTTCTACATATACATTCCTATTAAACATATTTTCACATTGGTCATGTTGTAAAGAAGAATTTGGAACAATGGGAGGAACCACAAGAAAGAGGAACCAAAACAAAACAGAAGAAAAAAAAAGCAAATGGTATGCTTCAATCTGCATTCAAACTCTATAGTTCTTTCTCTGGATATGGATAGCATTTTCCGTCATGAGACTTTCAGAGACATCTTAGATAAAAGGGGTACTTTCTAAGGTGGTAAGAACCATTGTTACAAAACAACTCCCCAAAGTCTATGATATCCTCCCCAGAAGTGTATGTAGAGTCCAGGAGAAACGTAGGTTAAAGTTTAGAGAAGTAGCTAAGTGGCTCAGTGGATAGAGTGCCAGGCCTGGAGTCAGGAAGACCTGAGTTTAAAATCCAGCCTCAGACACTTACTAGCTGTGTGGCCCTGGGCGAGTCACTTCACCTCTGTTTACTTTAATCTATGAGAGAAGGAAATGGCAAACCACTCCAGTATTCTCACCAAGAAAAATCCATGGACAGCAGGGTCCACAGAGTCACAAAGATTTGGACACAACTGAATAACAATAACAACAACAAAGTTTAGAGAGCACAAGTAGCAAATGAGTAACTCACAGCTCTTAGAAGTCATTTTGCCGCATTTCTCAAGATGCTCACCTTAGATGTGGTTTAGTTCTTTTTCTCAGGATATTTACAGAGCTTTGAATCTGCTTTCTTCATCATGTCCAGCCTGTCCTTGGCTCTTGATACAGATGCTGCCATCAGCCATTCTGAGACACTGGCCACGGAGGATACAAAGACAAAATGAAATGGTTGTTCCCCTCAAGGAACCATTCCATTCTAATATAAGAGGAGCTAAGATGTAGAACTAATAGAATATTAAAAATATGCACAAAATAAATGCAGGGTAATTTGGGAGAGGACACTAATACCTGGGATCAGGAGAAGCCTCAGGTAGGTGATAGCACTTACACTGAGCCTGGGATGAAACTAAAGGTCTTAAGAGGTGGAGGTAAAGAGGGAATGAATTCTAAATGTGGCAGACAGCTCAGGCAAAGGCACAGAAACAGGAAATAGAATGTCAAAAGTGAGGAACAAGAAAAAGATCGGTTTGACTAGACCAAAGAATGTAGAAGGAAGTACTGTATAATAAGACTGGAAAAGTAGCTTGGAGCCAGATTACAAACAGGAATTTGGATCTGATATTACAGGTAATAGAGAGCTACTAGCATTTATTGTAACATGGTTGAACCTATGCTGTAGAAATATTTGCATGGCAGATTGATGGGAGAATGGATAGAAGATACTCTCCTCCCCACCAATGACTTTCTTTTTCTTCTCTTTAGTCTCCATTCCTCCCTCTTTCTTTCTTCCTTCCTCTCTCTCTCTCTCTCTCTTTCACTAATTGTGACATATAGCAACCGAGGTTATCGGATCATGCCACAAGTTGCATTCAGAATTAGAGAGGTAGTTGATTTCTTTAGGAGACTATTGGTATAACAGTACAATATCATGCTTGTATCCTTGCTTGCTGACTATATATCAGGCATATGGCCAAGACTCTTTCAGGACCTTAGATTCAGAGCTGAAAGGGACCACCGAAGTAATTAAATCTAACCTCTTCATTTTATAGATATGGAAACTGAGCCCTAGAGATACTAATCTCTAGTGTGACTAGTAGTGACTTATCCAAGATCACAGAAGTAGTGAGAGGCAGTGGCAGGGTTTTAATCTAGGCCTCCCCCTCCCACAAAGGCAGAACACCAGTGTAAATCTGTCTATGGCCAGAGTAGTCTAACTCCTTCTTCTGCTGTAGGCTCCACAGTGGCTAAAATCAATAGGATACATTTGCTTGCAGCCCTGCACTATAAATAATAAAAATATTGATGGGGGAAGAACTGAGGTGTTTGAGGCTATTGTTTTTCCCCATTTTTGTTTCAAGTTTCAATCACCCACCAGTTCTAGAGTGTTCTGTTTTGAACTATGAAGATTACAATATTTATCCAAGAAAAAAATATATATATATATATGGTGACCAGCAAATTTTATAATGAGAAAACCTAAGATCCTATCCCTCCTTCTTCTCCAACAGAAGGCAACCATCATCAATTGTATTATCACCTCTAAAATAGGATGGTTCCAAACGCTGAGCAAAAGAAAACCAAGGAAATAACCCCTCTAACCTGGATTATTTATTTGTTTCTAAGAATGCTTTGGGTTGTTAGGCCATTATGGCCTAGTAGCTCCTTAGGGAAAAAGAAAATTTGAATT